TCCAGATTTTGTGGACCATTGTTGCATATGCAATTTTGAAGGATCCTCTTAAAGAAAAAGAATAAAAAATCACTAACACAAAATTTCTTTTAGAAGAGGTCCATGAGCCTGCAGAAAGGACCCCAAAGCTGAAGCCTCAGTAACGTCGCAGTAAACCTGCTCCCAATCTAAAGGTCACTTCCAGCTCTGAAAAGTCCATGGTTTTCTCTTCTTCCAAATCATTTCTGTTCTCTTCCCTTTTCTTTTCTTTAGTGGTTCCTATGCTTTCCCTTCAGACAGCTGGGACCAGTGGGACCTGTGGTACCAGGGCTAAAGAGGCAGCAGTGGGGTTGGAAGATAGGTTCCATACATACAGGGGGAATTGGCAAATACAAAGATGCCCTGAGGATAAAAATAATCAGGTTTCTCACTGTTGGGGAATGGAGTTACAGACATGGGAGGGTCCAAGGCTGGAATAAACTCTATGGGGTTGAATGGAATTAGAGGTATGGATGCAAACACATGGTTTTTTAATACACATATAAATTTGGAAATAAATATACGTGTATGTGTGCATATATTTTTACATATATTTATATTTTTAAATGCATATAAATTATATTTATACATATATAAACCAAAAAACCCAGTGCTGTTGGGTAGATTCCAACTCATAGCAACCCTGTAGGATGGAGTAAAACTGCCCCATAAAGAAGCAGGCTGCCATATCTTTCTCCTGCTTGTATATATATATGTATGTGTGTGTGTGTGTGTGTGTGTGTGTGTGTGTGTGTGTGTGTGTGTGTGTGTGTGTGGATATAGATATCCCCATAGCAATGGGCACATCTAGTGCCCAGACTATGGCTTCTAAATATTGCTTTCTACTAAATATAACCAGTGTTCCTTAGAGAAATGGTTGATTCCAGGACTAGGGTAGCAAAAGTACAGTATGAACCTAGAACATTTTATTATGTCAGAAAATAAGAAAGTGCTCAAAAACTGATCAGGATTTATCAAAAGGACATAGAAGCCAGCTTAACAGATTCCCATGGCCAAATCTGGGACAACTTTGAGCACTAAAATAAATAATGATAGTAATAAACTACAGCTCATTACATCAAATCAGAATCCATGAGCCGTACTTATAACAGAAAACAAACAAATAAATAAGAGAAATCTCTTCCTTACGATAGAATGCCGAGGGATAAATATAGAAGTGGTGGAATTAGAAAATCCCCATTTGGTGATTGTGTTTTCCAAAAGGAGTCTTCAACAACATCTTTTGTCCTGAATGCCTTTGTTACAAGGCAACTTTGACAGTGTTCCATCAAGACATGGGGTCTCTGTCCCCTCCCGCTTGAAACTGGGAGGGTTTTTGTGCCTATTTTGACCAACAGAGTATGGCAGAAGTGATACTAGGTGACTTCTAAGACTAGGTCATAAAAGCCGATAGCCCTTCTGCTTTGTTCCCTGGAACACTTACTGTTGAAGCCTTCCCGCCACTGTGTAAGCAGTCTAACTGCCTGAGGCCACCATGCTATGAGGGAGCCCAAACCTACCCATGCAGAGAGACCACATGGCTGGGCCCTGAGATGGCATAATGAGAGAGAGATGTCCGGCCAGCTCCCAGCTGCTCAGGCCACCATCTGACTTCAACCTCATGCGAGACCCCCAAGCCAGAACTGCCCAACAGAGCCATTCCCAAATCTGTGACCCACAGAAACTGTGAGAGATGGCAGTGTCTTATCAATGTTAATTTCCTGATTTAGATGAATATATGTCCCACTGGCGGGGAAAAAAAAACCATATATATCATACATGTATGTGTGATATATGTGCATATATATATGTGTGTGTGTGTATATGTGATTGATTTGTGTCCCCCCCAAAATATGTATTAAAGTCCTGACCCTTGTACCTGTGAATGTGATCCTGTTTGGAAACACAGCTTTCTTGTACATTAATGAGGCCATACCAGAGTAGGGTGGGTCTTAAACCTAATCACTTCTGAGTTATAAAGAGAGCAAAATAGACAGAGACAAAAGAGAAGACAGATGCCATGTAAGGACCCATCCACAAGCAAAGGAATGCCAAGGATTGCCAGCCCATTAAACCCCTTACTGTCGAGTCGATTCTGACTCATAACAACCCTACAGGACAGAGTAGAACTGCCCTATATATACGGTTTCCAAGGCTGTAATCTTTATGGAAGTGACTGCCAGATCTTTCTCCCACGGAGTGCTGGTGGATTCAAACCACCCACCTTTCTGGTTAGCAGCCAGGTACTTAACCACTGCACTACCAGAGCGCCTTCAGAGTGCCAGCATACACTAGAAATTACAAGAGAGGCCCATGGAAAGAGGCCCACATACATGGCTGAGACCCTGATTTGGACTTTTAGCCCCAAAACTATGAGAAAAGAAATTTCTGTTCTTTAAGTCCACCCACTTGTGGTATTTTTGTTACAGCAGCACTAGGTAACTAAGACAATTTATATGTATGTGTGTGTGTGTGTGTGTGTGTGTATATATACATATACGTATGTGTATATATATGCTATATTTGCTATTTTTATCTAACCAATTGAGAAAAAGCTGCAGACATTATGCCCCATTACTCCTAAATACTCCAGAATGTATTTCCTAAAAGACAGTGACATTCTTCTATGTAACTATACTACAACCCAAATTTATGTGTATATGGAGAGACAGAATGATACAGCAAATATTGTTAAGTGTTAACAATTGATAATCCTGGGCAAAGAGTATATGAGTTCTTTGTGCTATTCTTGCAACTTTTCTTAAAGTTTGAAATTATTTCAAAATAAAAAGATCAAAGTTCCATGGTTTCCCCTGAGTTTGAATCCTGACCTCTAACCTGCTGGGAAACAGGATGACTTGCACCTCCCAGAGGCAACATGGCAACAGCTCTTCCTCTGTTTGCATTTCCAGAAGCCCCCTGCCCTTCCCCCAGGAGCTGTGCACAAGCTCCAGGACCCAGGAGGAGCAGGCTAGGCTGGGACCATCACCAAAGGCCAGACATGGAGACTATTGGCGATAAGCTCGGCAAGTTAGTGATTCTCCGTGTACCAGGCCAAATGACAATAAAAACAGGGTGTGCTAATTCAAATTACAAAAAAGATGTTTTGTTAATACAATGTTTTACTGCTGATTTCCTTTAAACAAATCATAGATTGCAGGCCCCCCTGGTGCAGCATGATTTAATTTGCAAAAATTTAATTAACAGGAACTTTTCCAAAAGACATATGCCATTGGGACTCTCTGGGAAGTCCTGAAGGAAGAATGAGTGGAATCAGTTTTATCTGCTCTACTCCTGGCATAAATATTACTCAGGCCTGAGGGGGCTACAACTTGTTTCCAAGACCAGATCTCATCTTCATATCTCAGGGGTCTGGTTCAACTGGTATTCCTAGATCTCTGACTAGGACTCGGCCTATTGAACTAACTAGGCAGGAAGGCAAGACAGAAGGCAACAGCTGGTTCATTTTACCAAGTCAGAGACCACACCAAGTTCAGGCCAGAAACGTTAAGCTCTTACCTATGCTGGAGGCCTCCTGTAGCCATGGCAACTTGCTACCGACACCCATCCTGCTAAATTCCTTCATCACCATTTATTAAATCTGAATCTGCTAAATTGTAACCTAAAAGAAATCTACTGGAATTGGTGATGGCAATGAATCAAAGACCCTCAGAATTAGACAGGATCCTAGAGGTAATTTTTTCCTACCTGGGTCCCCAGCCTGTGTTGAAGACCCCTAGTCAGCAAAGCTTTCTTTTCCCAATGCCATTAACCAGAGAGAGGGCTGGCTGCTGCCTGGAAGTCTGGGATGCAGGTGATGGCTGATGGATGGGAAGACAGAATTCCTCTGGGACTTCTAAGGAATTCTTTGATTCTCCTTTCATTCCTTTAGTGAAGTGAAGATAGGGCTGGCTTCTTGCCTTTCTTCTCCCAAAGAGCAGGCTAAGAGTCAGACTCTGATCCCACGAGGTCTTTTATTTGGGGAGACACTGCTCTGCTCCCTCCTGCCTCAGCAACTAGCTCAACAGATAGAGAATACAGCCATTCGTTCAACGTCTTTTATTGAGTACTAACTAGGTTTGGGGTACTGAGCTAGGCTCTGGGTTCATAGTGTGAACGACGCACAAGTTAGTGCCTGCCCACGTGGAGCTTACAGTCTAGTGGGGGGAGGGGAGACTAAACACAGAAATAAATACATAATTATAAATCACATAAGAGTCATGAAGAACAAGAAGAGGATGGTATGCAAGAGAATAATAGGGGGTCAGGAAAACCTTTCTGAGACATTGATATTAATCCTGAAGCCTAAAAGGTGAACAGAACAAAAAGTGGGACAAAAGTGGGAAGAAAGAACATTGAAGGCAGAGAGAATGAGGAAAAGGTGAGGATAAAGCTTGTATATTTGAGGAACAAATGACCAGTGTAGCCGGAGTACTAGGGGGCAATGGAGGCAGAATGCCACTGAAAGAGAGGCAGGTGCCAGGTTAAACAGGGTGCTATATGCCCTGTTGAGACATTTAGATTTTATTCTAAGTGCATTGGGTTGTAAGCAATGGAATAACCAATTTATTTTAAGTTTTGAAAAGTCAGTCTGTAGACCTGGTGGTCGTACAACATTGTAAATGTACTAAATGCCACTGAATTGTACACTTCAAAATGGCTAATTACATGTTATGTGAATGTTACCTCAATTTAACGAAAGTCTCTCTGCTCTGTGAAAAATGAATTGAAGGAGCAAAGAGAATAAAAGGGAGATCAATTAAGAGGCCACTGCAGTAACTCAGGCATGAGATGATTATGGCCTGGACTCAGCTAATAGCAGCAGAGGTAGAAAGAAGTAGATGGATTCAAGATACATTCTGAAAAAAAAAAAAAAAAAAAAAAAGTTGAGAATTTAGAGGGTTAAAATGTTGTGGGGTTGTTAACCAATGTCATAATACAGCATGTGTGCTACTGTTACATGAGAAACTATCTGTTCTGTAAGCCTTCACCTGAAGTACAATAAAATATTAAAAAAAAAAAAAAAAGATACATTCTGAAGGTGGATTTAATTGGGCTTAATGATGAACTGAATGTAGGGAGGAGGGGAGAAGATTGTGTCAAGCATTTCTCTGAAAATTTTGGCTTTGGCCAACTCGTTGGAATGGATAGAGGTGCCATTTACCAGGATAGGAAAGAGAAGGAAATGAGCAGATTTGATGAAAAGAGAGCCAGAGTTCAGAATTGCTCATAGTAGTTTTCTGTAAGCCATCAAAATAGATAAATACATTTTGAAATCATCAGCAAATAAATGGTATTTGAAAGCAGGGGAATAGATGAGACGTCCCAGGAAAAGAATATAGAGTGATAAGAGGAGATAAGAAAGCCCAGACTGAGCCCTGAAGAAATCCAACACGGAGATCAGATAGAGAAGGAGGATCTGGGGAAGGGAACCCAGAAGCGGTTGCCAAAGAGAGAGAGGAAGAAACCAAAATGGCTGATGTCACTTAGGTTGAAAGGTAAGAATATTTCAAAACGATGAGTTTGGTCAACTGGTCAAATATTTCTGAGAGTCAATATGGAGACCATTGACAACCTTCTCAAGGTCAGTTTCGATAAAGTAATGGAGGTAAAGACTATATTGGAGTGGATTTGAGAATGATTAATAAAAAGTGACGACAGCTGGTACAGGGTAACTCTTTTTGAGCTTGACTATGAAAGGAAACAGAAAAATAGCTGGGGAATGGCTGTTTTCTCCTTACTTCTTGGACAGGTCATGTATAAACTTATCCCATGTCTTCTCCCAGGTCTTCATGGCAGTCTTTTTCTCAGTAGGCGACAGGGCGCTGTACCTGCAGGAGAAGAAGAACCTAGGTCAGCACCAGGGGAAGTGTCAAGGAACAGGACAGGGAGCGTGAGGGGATCTCAGATGCTCACAGAGCACGTTTCTCCCCAGTCCAAGAATGGGAGTGGAACAGAGATGATGAAGGGAAAGCCCACAGAAACCATTCAGGCTTCTACCCCAAACCTCTGAGAGTTGCCCCATGGTGGGGTGGGATGGAGGGACGGAAGAGGGGATAAGGGAAATGGGACATGTGCAAGGACACTCACTTGATAGAGTTAATGGCGAGCTGTTTGAGTGTCCTCAGGTCAGCATCCATCCCACTGATGCCCATGAAGACCTCATAGAAATCATGGCTCAAGCCTTTGGCACCAAAGAAAGCTGGGTCATCAGAGCTGATCACCATGGGGTACCCGACAGCCATGAAGGCAGTTGCAGGGTGGGTTCTCAGGTCAGTCACCAGCTTCAGAACCTGTCCAAGAAAAGTCGAGGGAAAACGACAAACTTGCATCCATAAAAGGAGTCATCCAGCTCCTTTTTTATCCTCATCACCAGTCTGAATATTGGGATGACTTCTGACACCAGGAATAGATCCAGTCCTCAAGCGCTTCCTGACTTTTTCCAAGTGTCATCACCACCACAGACTTGTGGTCTGACTCTTGCTTGGTCCTGCTCAGAACAGCAAGACAGACAGGTGCTGAAAGGATTCAGAAAACTGCTGGAAACAGCAATATCCTATTGGCCTTTCCTTTCCACTCCACTGGACTCCACCAACGTCCCTTTAGCTTTGCCCAAAATTCCACCCCATTGGAGACTGTCATTGCTGCCTCATTATTATGAGCTGTTTAGGCAAAAGGCCATTCCTAAAACTCTTTACTAATGGAGGTGGGAGAGTTGGGGAACATAGAAAACAAGTGAGTTATGGAGAGAGAAATCACATAGAGAAAGCTTGGAAAACACAGCAGAGGTTGAGGCTGGGCGCAAAGGTCATATTGGATTAGCGCCATGGATCATATATACCTGGTTGGAGATGGGACAGACTTCTATGGGGATGTCTCTCTTCTGTAAGTCTTCCATGACTGCTGGGTGTTTGCTCAAAGCAAATCCATGTCCAATCCTGGTGGAGTTCAATATCAGGGCATCCAGAAGGTTACCGTCCACCGAAGTACCCTGCCAGTCTGAGGATGAAGAGATAGTCCTCAATAGGGATGAATCTGACCCACAGACCATCCTCACACAAAAGTTCCAGATCCCACCCCTAGCAAGAAAAGGAAGAGAAATTAACATTAACATTACACACACACACACACACACACACACACACACACACACACACACACACATGCACATAGAAAATTTTTTCTTATAGCAATACTAAGGAGATGTATGGCATTCCCCCTCTCCCCTACTCCCTTTTTATTTTGTTTGGTAACAGATGAGGAAATTTTAACTTAGGTAGTTTTTATAAATGGACTAAGAACATTCCACTGGTAAGCAGCAAAACTGGGTTTCAAGTCCATAATCTTTCTTCCTCTTTTTGTTTGTTTCTACAGAAATTTTCTGGGAATTTTATGCTTACGGTTTTTGCAAGAGTGTTGTTGATTCTCTAACATATAATGTCAGTATAATTATCTGTATGTATTGACTTTATATACTTAACAGTGCCCTTGAGACATGATCAATTACAAGATCACAATGGCCATCACCAACTAATAAAGTTGCAGCAGACACTTTTGGCTGCCTACTCACCAGCCATCCCAACCACACCTTCCTTGCTGGCTGGGCCTTCTTTCAAGGGTGAAAATTCCACATCCTGACTTTCCCGCCTCCCTTGCAGCTAAGGCAGCCCTAATGCTGACCTCTGAGGTTTTCTGCTGGGGGAGCTTCTGGAGCTTCCTCCCTAATAAAAAGACATGCACCAGGAGAAATGTCTCCTCTTTTGCTTTAGGGGATGTGGCATACGTGACTCCACCATATCATGACAAAGTGGGGGCAAAATCACCAACTCAATGAGGCTAGCAGAGATTGTTTATTATGTGAGATAATAAATGACATTATTGTAAACCTATATATGTGTATACTTCATTCCTTGCAGCCAAAAGCATCCTAACTGAGCTACATGTAAAATATGAAAATTCTATTTTTCTATTGGAAGTAAAACCCAAGAATTCCCATTGCTAGTTAGGGTATGTATATTAGATAGACTTTTACTGGTTTCTTAATCTAGTACTTTCTTTTTGAAGATTTCTTCTTCTTTTTTTAAATAAGAACATTTCTCTTGGGTGTTAAATACCCAAGTCCAAGAAAATCCTCTCCTAGGTCCATACATCTTGGAATTTGATTAGGTTCCATGTTACATTGTTTCATACTGTTCTTTAATGGTTTCACACAGGTAAGTATGATCTTTCCAACTTGACCACAAGCTCTTTAAGGTTAAACCCACCCCACCCCCATCTCCCACATACAATTCTTTAAAGCTCCTAGGGCAGACTTTGATCTAAATTGGATCTAAATTGACTCAAAATGTCAGGAAAAGGGATTAATGCACATGGACCGTTTCTCTAAGAGATGGCCTGATACACCGAGTTTTAAGCCTGGTTGTGACATACAAGCTTCCCATTGCTCCCTCCTTCTCCTCTTGGTCTTCCAAGGGTGACAGGTGCCTTAGGCAATCTGAGGGATGCTAGGGGGGTGGGGGGGATGTGGCAGGGGCTTCTCTTCTGGCCTAGGTCTCCATGTGAACTACCTCCTCCCAAAATCTTTATTCCTTATCTGAAAGTTCAGCCACAACCTGGTACCCCTTTTGCATAGGGTTTACACATTTTAGGGACTGGACTATGGTAGAGAGAGAAAGACCACAGAATGAGCTTTGGGAAACAAAGAAGTGGCTTGACTAGTGGCATTTCAGAAAGAAAGGCAGCAAGGGCTGCTGTGGCAGGGCAGGTTCTCCTCAGCACTGATAGGTGGTGGACAGAACCCCCTAAGATGACAGGGCACGCTATAGTTCTGAACCCTCTTCTGCCACTTACCACTGTGTGACTTTGGACAAGACAGTTAACCTCTCAAGCTCAATTTACTCATTATGAAATGGAGACGGTCAGAAAGGGTTCAAATTGAGACTCCACTGCTTATGAGCACTTTAACACTGAACCAATAACTCTACGTTTGGGGACTTGGGCTTTTCATTTATAAAACGGGGATAAAAACACCTACAAGCAGGACTGCGGTGAAAGTTAAAAATAATATATGCTAAGTGCCTGATACACAAAAGGCACTTAATAAGTAGTAGCTATTATTATCACAGTTATTCCTTTTCCACAGAGCTGCTGTTAAGAATAAACGAGATAATGGATACATGAAACCTGTTGCCTTTGAGTCGATTCTGACTCATAGCAACCCTATAGGACAGAGTAGAACTGCCCCACAGGGTTTCCAAGGCTGTAAATCTTTATGGAAGCAGACTGCCACAGCTTTCTCCTACGGAGGGGCTAGTGGGTTTGAACTGCCGATCTTTTGGTTAGCAGCTGAGGCTTAACCACTGCACCACCAGGGCTCCTCACAATGGATATGAAAGGCTATAAAACAACTATGGAGTCCCTGTGGGTGCAAGTGGTTAACACACTCAGCTGCTAACTGAAAGTTTGGAGGTTCGAGTCCACCCAAAGGCACCTCGGAAGAAAGGCCTGGCGATCTACTTCCAAAAAAATCAGCCATTGAAAACCCTATGGCATATAGTTCTACTCTGACACACATGGGGTTGCCATGAGTTGGAGCTGACTTGGTGACAACTGGTAAATAAAACAACTATAGACTAAAACAATGCAGTATCGGTACCACTGCCCCAGTATCCTGCCAGTACTCTTAGATGATGGTGAGGAACTCTCCTGTCTACCACCTCCTTCACCCCCTCTTTGTATTCCATGTGGTTGGCTCACCTGTCTCTCCAGCATGTAAGAAGTATGGTAGTTTGATGCCTTTCAAGCTTGGAATCAGCAAAGCCTCTTTGTAATCATACAAGGTGTGGCCAGTGTCCTCACGCCCCACCTGCAGGACAAAGAAGGGACGTGGGGGGCATCTGCTTGGTTCATGCCTCACTTTGCTGAGGTGCCCCCTGCAGTCTGTAAATGCTCTTCTTTGCACCCTGCCACTACAGCTTGAGGCCCTAGGTCACACAGCCCGTTAAGAGTGACCAGCAGCAGAGTTGGGAAAGAGAAGAAAGTGCAGTATTGCTCTGAAATAATTTCTCCCTTCTTAAGAGGCTTTACCTTTCATGCTCCCAGCCCTTTCCACCTTGTCTCCTCACATCACCTCTGCTGCAGCCCTGAGCAACTTGGGGGGCGGAGGGGGAGAGTAGACAGAGGGAGACAGACAGACAGGAGAAAGAGAGAGAGAGACAGAGAGAGCAAGAAAGACAGACAGACAGAAGGAGAGAGAAACAGAGACAGACAGAGGGAAAGAGAAACAGAAGCAGAGAGAGACAGAGGGAGAGAGAAAGAGGGACAGAGATAAAGAGACAGCGAAAGAGGTAAAGAGACAGTAAGAGAGGCAGAGAGAGACACAGAGAGACAAAGAACACACACCCCGAACTAGGAGTTAGGAGGACCCAGGTGCCATCCATCACCTGTGGGTCCCTGCACACATCAGTTTCCCTCTCTGTGATTCAGTTGCTTTGTTGTAACATGAAGAGCAACTAGACCGAAATCCTGCTTTTCAAACTAAGCCACACATGCCCACAGGGCTCTGTAGCTGTGTGATAGCAGTAAGGATTTTTCAGGATAGAAAGCATGCCTCCTATAGAATGCCAGTTTTAACTGGTGGGGGTAGAAAAGTGTGTGGGGGAATGACACATTTTTATCATAAAACAAACATGGATACTCAGTGGAGTAGAATGGTGTGTAGAATTGAAAGGAGCTTAGAGCTTGCAAGTGGACCCCCCCACTGTCGCTGAGTACTTGTCCATTAGATGTACTTGGATGGGCTGTTTCAGAAGTCCTGCACAAGGAGCACTCCCTCTAAGTTCTAAAATCCACTACAGCTTTTGTCAGTGCTGCACACAGAGAGAGGAGATGAGATGGGGGGACCTTCTGCCCCTTTTCTCGAGACGCCATATCCTTTGAGCACTCACAAGGGTCCCAGGAGGACAGCCTGAGCCCAAACTAAAACGATTCCCTAGGTCCACTCCTTTGAGCTCTGGTTGGTCAGAAGGCAAAAGCTTAAGTACAGTTTCAGCTAAAACGTACAGATTACCTAAGAGGGAGTCAAGGCTGCCTTTTAGAGAGTCTAAATTAATTTAGACTTCTTAATTAGGTGAATTAATTAATTAGAGTAAGGAGCTGTCAGCTGGGGAGCCTGGCCTGTCTGTTAGGGCCTGGCCGAGGGGGGCAGCAGCAACAGCTATGGGTGTGCAGCTTAAAAATAGGTGGGGAGGGAGTTACTGTTTAATGAGTTTCTGTCTGGGGTGATAAAAAGTTTTGGAAATAGATGGTGGTAGTGGCTGTACGACATTGTGAATATAATTAATGCTACTGGATTGTACACTTAAAATGCTTAAAACAACAAATTTTATGTTGTATGTATTTTACCATACTAAGAAAAAAAAATTTTTTAAGATAAGAAGGAAATGGGACCAAGAAGAGGGAGGGAAAAAATTTCCTATCGGGGCTAGCCCCATCTCAGGCTCTACTTCCTGACCGGACTCCCTCTGTGTGCTGTGGGGGAGTAGGGGATGTGTGGGTATGATTTTAAGAGTCAGACATAGGCGTGCAATTTGGGGTAGGAAAAGGGACAGAATGCAGGGGAACAGGGAACTAGCCCTTAATTATTGTCCAAACTTCCTGAATGTCTTCCTTACTCTGGAACTTCCCTTTTCAGCTGTCCAGCCCTTTCTGCCCTCCCTTCTCCCGTGGCTGCCACCCCCTGCAGGCTCCTAGAGATGGTCAGCCCTGAGCCTCTCCAGAGGGTTTCCACAAGTGCAGCACCAAGTCTGGTTCCTTCATGAGGAGTTGCCTGCCTGGCCCTTTCTGTGCATGGAGTTGGGGGCAAATGACCCCAGGTTACCAGGTCAAACCCTGCCACCGTTGTGGGGAAATCGGTTCGAAGCTCCATGGCTGTTTTGACGGATATTTTGATAAGAGATGCATCCTTGGATCTGAGAGAGAGAAGCACAGAGATGGTGTGACTCGGGTTACTTAAGTTGTGGAGTTGTTTCTTCTTGGGGCCAGTCTCGTCCAGTCCAAGGGTGCAGCAACCATTTCCCAAACCCTCAGTACCACTGCCCACATGGTCCCGTCCCCCCAGGCTATGGTGATCCCTTTAAATGGCTCCACCTGTGAGATATTTCTCCCAAATCCATCCCTATCGAGAACCCCAGGTAGCTCCAGAGGGACCTATTGTCTCTGAGAAGCAGGCAGGGTAAGGGGGCCCATGGGGGCAATTTGTCTACATTTGGATGAAGCAAAGTGGCCTTGTCCAAAACTTGCCCTGCCTCCGTAAGAGGGTCCCTGGGTCCTGGACGTGGACCCTGTTCACTGGACACCTGTGAAATGCCGCAGGTCACTCAAGTTCCTGATGGATCAGCAGGATCCAGTAACCATACATCCTCTTTTGCTGGTTCAATCAGCAATACCTGGGTTAAGCAATGGTCCCAGGGTCCTGGGCCCTACAGAACCATATAACCATGCTGTCTTACTTCCCTTTAACACCCCTCTCTCCCTTCAAGTCCAGGATAGGGACGAGGCTAGTAGTATAACAGCAAAAGCACAAAAAGACAAATGTTTGGCACGACTCTGTGACAGGACAAAGGTCTCTGCTCAATTCCGTGGGGACTTAGTTTGTCCTGCTCCCCAGCCCCCACCCACCCCTTCTCCTCCAGAGCCCTAAGGAAGCATAGGGGCCATTTGTCCACAGAGCTTGGCCTCACACCCTCACACTCCCCTGCCCCTGGCCCTGGGAAGGGGCAGGTGGCGCCAGGGAGCCTCTGAGTAGAACCAGCTGGACGCCATCCTGCAGGTTCCATCCTGGGCTGGTGAGTGCACTAGTGCAGGGTCTCACTCCTGCAGCCTCCCCAATCCCTACAAGGAAGGGAGGGGATTTGGGGAGAGCCAGGGGGCTCCTGGGAAGTCTGCTGCAGAGCCAGCCCCATGGGAAAACAAAACCAAACCAAAAAAGTGCTGCTGTTGATTCAGTGCTGACTCATGGCAACCACAGGTGTGCAGAGTGAACTGTGCTCCATAGGTTTTTCAGTGCTGTGACCTTTTGGAAGCAGATCGCCAGGCCTAGTCTTCCAAGGTGCCTCTGGGTGGGTTTGAAACGCTGACCCTTTGGTTAGTAGTTGAGCGCTTAACCATTTTCACCACCCAGGAACTCCCAGCTACATGGGAGGGCTGAGTGAATGGAAGTTCTGCCCACTTCTGCCGTGCCCCTCCCCTGCCCTGACTGGAGTGACCTCATTGGCTGCTACTTCCGTGTTCCTGGACATGTACAGGTCATAGGCCTTAGTCTGCTACTCTTTGACATGAGGAGAGAGCTCTTCATTTGGTAAGATAGGAAGGAAAGGAAAGTCAGTAAAGCTTTCTGCGCTTGCCTGGTCAGTTCCTTTGTCACACCCCCAGGTCACACACATATCGGCTGTGAGGTCTTCACACATGAGGCTAAGCCAGCTGTACCCAGGGTCCCCTCACCTATCAGGGCCTCGCCCACAGCCACACACAGCACATGGAGACATTTGGCAGAACCCAATGGCAAATCAAAACAAAGAAATGGGCCAGTTATCCAAAAATCCAGGCAAAAACAACATATCCGTAGATAAGTCTTCCAGGCCCATGTGGGGTCACAGCCTAGAATTATCTGGAATATTGCCACAGTTCTTCGTTTCCACTTGGTTGTGGAGACCCGAACTAGAGGTGATGTCAGGGACACACATCCCGTTTGTCGGCTCACACACAAATGCACACGCTGAGCCCATGGCTGCCTGGCATCAAGCTGCCTGACTCCCAGCCTGCAGCCTCCGGTCCACCCCTCTGTCTCCTCTCCTCTCCCTTCCCAGCCTGGCATATGCCCACATCCAATACGCCCAACTCTTGTAGCTTCAGCCAGACTGTCTCACCTGTGATCCGAATAAATGAGCTTGAGTCCAACAAACTCAGGATGATCCTTCGCAAATGCCTCAGCCACTTCCTTATAAGTCTTCACGCACCACTTTCGGTCGTGGGTCTCCCCGTTCAGTTCGTACACCTGGGAGGAAAACATGGTTGAAAACAGACATCAGAAGTGGGCAGAGAAGAACGTCATTCCTAACTGCCAATATTCTCTAAAACCAGGTGGACTTTGTGCTTTCCTTGTTCGATGTCTTTTACGGCCTCTGACATTTTCTTTGCTGCTTTATTGGAAGTCCTACCCCCTCTGGGATAACACGCTTTGATGCCATGAAGCAGGGATTTTTGCCTGTCTTGTTCATTACTGGGCTCCTGCACCTAGAACAGTGCCTGGCACAAGGTTAAAAAAAAAAAACAAAAAAACCACCCATTCTGTCAAGTTGATTCTGGCTCATGGTGACCCCAAGTGTGTCAGAGTAGAACTGCTCTCCATAGAGTTTTCTTGGGGGGTTATCTTTATGCCTCTCACCACTCTCCCACTTCCATCCTGGCTTCGCCATTGTGTGCACCACGGCCACCACCACCAGGGCTGCCTTTCACACTCTGGGTGTCTCCTCAGCTCTTCACCTCTCCCCAGGCCCATGGAGCAGCCTTTTGCTCTTTGATCTCCCAGGGGCTCTGCTGTGCTGCCTGGGTTGGGGAAAGTGCGGTGAGTGGACAGCTGCTTCCAGCCCCTCCTTGGGCCTATTGGCCTTTGGTCTTTGGTTTCCTCTGCTGCTGCTCCACAAAGCTTGATGTTTGTTTTTTACACACTCCCCCACAAGACAACTGAGCCCCCAGCAGACCCTGGGCTCCCCGTTGTCAGGGGAAGCTTCCCTGATTGCTTGGCGTGGGTTAGACATGCACAGCATTACTGACCATTAAGGCTGCCAGCACCTTCCGTGGGGAGAACCATAGGTACTGTTACCTGAGTATCTGGTATTGCCCATTATTATGTTTATTTACCAAGAATTTTTAAAACAAGCTTTTTCTGTCACTGATCCAGGGATTCAACCTTCTCTTCAGCGGACTTCCAGGCACTCTGTTAGAACCGTCAAATCCTCGATGCTGAAAGAGGCTTATGTACTTTCGCCCAACAGTTCTCAAAGTATGATCCAACGACTCCTGTGGGTCTCCTAGACTTGTTCAGGAGGTCTACAAAATCACAGCTCTTCATAATTTTAAGATGCTATTTCATATTTTCACTCTCATTCTCTCACGAGTGTACAGTAGAATTTTCCAGAAGCTGCATGGTATGTGGTGATGTCATTGCTCTCGCAGTTAATGGATTGTGTGCTTGTGTACCTTGTGTTTTGAAAGTGTCTGTTTTACTTTCTAGTACAGTACACATCAGTAGATAAAATCCACATAAACAAAAGCTCTTCGGTGTCCTCGAAAATTTTAAGAATGTAAAGGGATCCTGGGGCCCAAAAGATTGAGAACCAAGGTTTTAACTCAACCCAGAATTGCTATTTGAAATAGTCTTGGCATCGCCCAGTGGTTTGCAGTAGAGAGAAATAGTCGTTAGTGCTGTTATCACTATTGAGTCACCTGCCCAGATATCCCAACGGGATTATGAGTTCCTTGAGGATAGGGTCCAGTAGTTTTTATCTCCCCGTTTCCCCTCCTCTTGCACCAGAATAGGCACTCCATAAATAAACATTAATTTAAGAAGAGTGCTTTTCATTTGGAGTGGTAAAAGTACGAGGCATATTTTAGGAAATGGGTGAATGGATGGATGTTTGTGCAAGTGGTGCTTGGAGAAAAGAAAGAAGCAAAAGAAAAAGAAAATCAACAAATGACAATTCTGCCTAAAAGGAGATCCCTGTCAGATTAATCCCTGCCGGAGATATGCAAATGATGCAACCAGAGGCATGATAGGAGCTTGCATATGGCAGTGGTTCCAAGTCAACAATCCTGTCAATCTAATGCTTATCTCTAGAGAAGGCTGGGACCCCTGCCTTCCAGGGTTCAAACCCCACTGCTAGTTCCCATAGCATGGAGCGCCATGAAGTTGGAATCTGGCTCCTGGGTCTGCAGATGCTAAAGCTGCATTCAGAGTGGTTTGCTAGTCTACTGGTGCCCCCAGTAAATCAACACCGACGCTGCCTGTGCCCTGTGTTCCTGCAGCTCTGGCTTCTTGCAAAGTAACTGCAGGCTGGACAGAAGCGCCTAGGACAGGATCTGAATGCTCAACACCACCCCATCTGAAGGAGTGGGAGACCTCCTTCTGGGGTTGGGGGAGACCTGCAACTCCACACAGCCTCAGAGTGGTTAGACACTGCTAATGAACCCAGGGTTAGAGAAGGTTCTCAGCTGATGTGGGGGGTCTGGGGAGCCTTCTCAATTCAGATTGGAGATCCCAATCTGTCTCAAATCAATCATACCTCATAGGATTGTTGCAAGGATCAAATGAGTTAGTATTTGCAAAGCACTTAGAAATGATAACTCTTAATATTAATAATTATTATTATTACACATCTATCACTAGGTCTCAAAAAAGCAACCTAGAACCTACAGTTGTCTTAGGAAGATGAGTTAATAATTCAGAATTTAATAATTTGTAAGCACGGGTAAGTGATACAAAAAGCTGCTCTATCCATGTGATAAATCTTGAATTAAAAGCACATGGAACTCGACTTAGATGATCTCAAATTTTAACTATAGTTTAACTGAGAAACTCTAAATTTGTGGGGAAATTATTCAAACTACACACTATTTACATAAACTGATAAAAGTTTCAAACTTTTATTGTCTACTATATCAGGGAATGATAAAATTTTGAAGCTGGAAGGAACCTTAGGGAAATTTGGGAGGAGAGAGCTGCTCAAAGTCACACTATTAGCTTGAATCAAACCATAAACTAGAACTCAAAATTTCTGATTCCCAACGCATTTAATGGAATCCCTGGGTGGTACAAACCATTAAGAGCTCAACTACTAACCTGAAGGTTGGTGGTTTAAACCCACCGAGAGATGCCTCAAAAGAAAAGCCTGGTGGTCTGCTCCTGAAAGGTCACAGCCTTGAAAACCCTACGGAACGCAGTTCTACTCTGTAACACATGAAGTCGCCATGAGTAGAAATCGGCTCAGTAGCAACTGGTTTGGTTTTTTCTTGGTTTAATGCAATTGACTTTCACTGCTAGAGCATCATTCTTTCTGCAGGCATTAATTGAGCTTCTACAATGTGCACGGCATATGCCCAGAGCTCCACATCCATCATCTCATTTAATCCTCAAACTATTCTATTAGGTCGATATCATTTCATAGATGAGGATTTGGAGGCTTTAAAAGGCTAAGGAACTCAGCCCCACTCCATATTTGGAAGGGGCTGGACATCTGCCAAGTGTTAGCATGATGCTTACCCTGAGGTGCCTCCCTCTGTAAGTGTGGCCACTGCCCTCACCAATTCCATGCTCTAGTCTAGACAGCGCCAGCTGTACACTAGAATCACAGGGACAGGGATGGTGCTGGGCCCCACCCCAGAGCAATGAAATCAGAATCTCTAGGGTAGAACCTAGTGTTTTCAAACTCCCCAGATGATCATCACGTATAGCCAGGATCAAGAGCTACCATTTTTGCAGATTCAATAGACAAGTAAACAGCACAATTACAATAGAGTAGAAGTGCTAGTATAAAGAGAAGTTGACAGGGGCCTTAGCCTCAATAGTCAGTATTCTTGCAGAGTAACACCAAGAACACAAAACAGTGGTCACTTCAGCAACAATTTTCAAAAAAAAAAAAAAGTCTGCTAAGAACCCAGGAAAAAGCATGGGGGTTGGGGAGGAGGGCAACAGAAGCGCTTGTCACACAAGTGACAGTATCCACCAAAAATGTCTGGCAACGACCATCCAGGTTCCCTTTCCCACCTACGTGTCTCTCTCCTAAGATCTCCCATCAGTAAGTGCAGCAGGGCAGTCTGCTCTTGCTAATCCTTTAGGGTCTCCTAAGAGCCCCACACCAAAGACTTGCCTGGACCCAGTCTGGGCCTCAGTTTCGGGCAGTGGGGGAAGGGGCTGGAGCCCAGGACATAAGACCCGCCTAGCAACTGTTGCTATAGGCTAGTAGCCTTTGTTATAGAGCATTAGTAACACAATAGGAGGCTGAGCAGCCAGGATAGTCCATCAACATCATCCCCAGGCTCTGAATTAGCCCCACAGCCAAGAAGGGGGAGGTAATGCGGCTCAGCAAAAGAATTCCAGCGAAGACTGTTTTTAGCTGTTAATGTGTTGATGGCTCCCCCTACTCTGGCTAATGGGGGGCATTAAGGCACAGACTCTCCATTGCAAGAAGCCTTTGTTTGAGGGTCAGGCCAGAACAAATGGTCAATCCCATCCCCCTCAACCTCCACCGGAATCAGAAATCTCAGCAGCCCTCTACCTTCTAGGAGGGCTGGCTGGGGTGGGATGGGGGGTGTAACGTGGGGAGAGAGGACAGGAGCTGGGCAGTGTCCTCAAGTTACCTACCCTGGAGCCCTAGTCTTGCCACGTCAGGCTCAGTAAGGAGAAAATACCTACTGCAGAAAAGGGGAATCGATGCAACATGAAAGCATTGCTCCAGCCTTTCTCTCCATTCCATTTTCTCAGTAACTTCCTCAAATACATCCCCACCAGGCTCAAGATGAAAGTCACAGAACCAACCAAGACCCAAAGCATCTCAGCAACTTTTTCCCTCCCTCTTCTTATGAACCTCCAAGAGCCAGAAGTTCTACAAGATTAAGGGATTGCTCTCAGCATCCACACTGAAGACATTGCCAGGATTTGTCCAATGGGAAGCTACTCCCCTGCCGGGGGCCCATTCTAGGTAAAGCATCTACTCAGCTCATCCTAGGGAATGTCATTTCCACTTGGGAAGTAACAAAAAAAAAATGAAGCCGGATGCCCTCCCTGAGAGCTTCTTTTGAGATGAATGTAGCTGCCCTGAAGCTCAGAAAGCCCAGCGCAATGGGAAAAGCCCTGGACTTAGGAATCCTGACCTCTATCTGGTCATCCGTTACTACCAGTGTGATCTTAGTGAGCCTCAATTTCCACATTTGGGAAATGAATTAATATCTTCTCTAAGACAGGGTGGTTGTGACTTAGTCTCAAATGCCTTGTAGGCAAAGTGCTTTGTAAAGGTCAAAGTGAATTAGGCCCTTTCTTAAAGTGTAGTCTGGGTCATCCATCTGCATCAAACCACCTGGGGGTAGTTAACTTTGCTGTTTCCTGACCCTACCCTACAGCCTCACTCAGAGTCAGGATTCTGGGAGGTCTGGGTCCAAAAGCAGAAACTTTAAACAGCACCTCCAACAGTACTCCTATGTACCCCAAAGTTTGAGAACTACCATCAACAAGTGTGATTTCACTGCTGGAGCCTGCTGAGGATATTAGAAAATATAAGAGCTGGTGCCAGTCTGAAATAACTCACAATCTAGTTGGGAAATCAGTGCTTATATGTTATGACGTAAATAACATAAGGTAACAAAAGGGGGGGCCTGGAGAGAAACACTAAGGAAGACAAAGGAGGGGAATACTGAACACCACAGGCCCAGGAAGGTGGTGAAGGAGGGCTGACCTGACACACTAAGGAACTGGGACTTAACTAGGCCCAGAGAGGAGGCTGGGGCTTAGATGAGGCAGGTCCATGGGTGGAGAGAGAAGGGTTTTCCAGGCCAAATACATGGGAATAAATTGTGCCAGCTCATCTCTTTCAAGAATCCTGTTCTCTTCAGAAGGTGGATCAGACCCTCTCTCTTCTTTAAAAAGGATTAGTCTCTTTATCATTTATCACTGAATGCCCTGATCCATAATTATTTGTACCTAGGTCTTATCTACTCTGCTCACAAAACTGATGAAAACTCTACTGGGGAGCAAATGTCAGCCCCACTTCCACCTCTCAAGAACTCAGAAAAAGGAATATACGTCTGTACCCTGATAGCTAAATTGTCAAACAACAGATCCAAGTGGAGATATCCGAAGTCTCCTGAGAGATTGGATCCAGGGCACTGCCTGATGATAACCTTACTGAGGTATTAACATATCTAAGGAAAAAGGTGGGTCAGTCCAGTATGCAAAGAAAAGAGAGAGGTGAGACTTCAGGAAGCTTTGTCTCCTATGAAGGGAGAGGGAGCTCTGACCCACAAACTGCAATAACTGGTTCTTGGGGCAGGTGCGGGCCCTGGTGGCACAGTGGTTAAAGTGCTCGACTGCTAACAGAAAAGCCGATGGTTCGAACCCACCAGCCGCTCCACTGGAGAAAGATGTGGCAGTCTGCTTCCATAAAAATGTACAGCCTTGGAAGCCCTATGGGGCAGTTTTACTCTATTGGGTTGCTATAAGTCAGAATCAACTCAATGGCAACGGGTTTATAGGGCCTCTGGAGCCCGGTGGCACAGTGGTTAAAAGCTTAGCTGCTAACCAAAAGATCAACAGTTCAAACCCACCAGCTGCTCCTTGGAAACCCCATGGGGCAGTTGTACTCTGTCCTACAGGGTCGCTATGAGGGAGGATCGGCTCAAGGGCAATGGGTTTGGTTTAGGTTTGGTATAGGGCCTCTGTGAGTCAGAACTGACTAGATGGCAGTGAGCTTGGGTTTGGTTTTTTGGGGGCAGGTACATCTTTCATTAGGGAGTCTGTGAATCATTTATAGCAGTCTGGGAATGTTGTTGCTGTTAGCTGCCATTGAGTCATCCTCCAACTCATGGCGACCCCAAGCACAATGGGATCATACTGTTGTGATCCACAGGGTTTTCTCTGGTTGATTTTCAGAAGTAGATTGTCAGGCCTTTCTTCCTAGTCTGTCTCAGCCTGGAAGCTCCACTGAAACCTGTTCAGCATCATAGCAACACACAAGATTCCACTGACAGACAGGTGGTGACTACGCGTGAGGTGCATTGGTCAGGAATCGAACCTGGGTTTCCCTCATGGAAGGTGAAAATTCTAACACTAAATCACCAGTGCCTCAAATCAATCTGGGAGAAGTGAAATCAGTTTAGGGGGTCCTAACCAGCATAAAAAAAAAAAAAAAAGGATGCAAAACATCAGAGTCATCTTACATTGCATTGTTTCCTGAAATGTTTGTTTCCTTTTACAGATGCATGTGGGTAAGTGTGAGAAACACTGTCTTAAACAGGAAATTTTTTGTAGTATTTTTTTTCTTTTCTGGGAGAAGGGTTTCATCAGATTCTGCAAAAGGTAACACCAGCCACTTTCTTCTTTGTATTCTCACCACACCCCATAAATTGTTCTTTAACAGCTATAAGAATATTGGTTACATTCATTTCTTTACCTATTGGTCTCCGGCTGAGAAAGGGTTGGACGTGGATTCTGTCCTATATGCCTTTGTTCACCCAGCACCTAGCATAGGGCCTGACACAGAGTAGCAGCTTGCAAGTGTTTGATGAGTACATGAAAAGAGAGAGAAGGGGGTGGGGAGGGAGAAAGAGAGAAAGATTGAAAAATAAGGTTGGGGTGGTGAATATACCCTGTGTTGTGAGTGACTCTCCTTATGTGCCAAAGAATTTGAACTTTATTCCATCAACACTTGGGAATCACAAAGAAGTATATTTCAGGGAGATGAAAGACAAGGTTGGATGTAGAATGGTTTGAAGGAAAATCAGTGAGGAAACTTCTGTGGTGGAACAGACAGGAAACAGCAATGAGAGTTGGTAGTACTCAAAGGGCAGGAAGAGCCAGGGGAAGTCTTCCTGCAGGGAGCCTCCAGGGCCTTGATGCTGAGCAGACTCTGGTAGAGAGAGAGGGGCCTCAGGCTGGGAAAAAGGGAAGTGGGGAGTCACCAGGCCCTTGCCCTCCTCGCAGATGCCCCAGCCAGCACTGCCAGATCCCAACAACCAAGCTCTGAGCTCTGCTAGAAGCCACCAGTTGTGGGCATATGGGAGACCAGGGGAGCACAGGCTCTCTACTATCTTCTCTATCCTTTGATACCTTTAAAAACCAGTGTACTAGTGTGAAACCTCTTTTTACACATTAACCCTGCCCCAATTCCATTTCTGACAGCTTCTGTGATTACAGCATTACCCATAGAAAACCAAAGCAAACACATCGCCATTGAGTCGATTCCAACTCATGGATTGCCCATAGAAGACCCTAGATAAATGCAACCGTGCTCCACAGAAAGGACCCCTCATGAGCTCACCCACCCCACCATCACATGGAACTAGATCCATGACCAGATTCATCAGCTGTCCCCTTACCAAGAGCATTGTCCTAAGGGACTCAGGGATGTGAAAGGAGACAGGTTAAGAAGGTCCCGGCACCCAGGCCAAGGTCCGAGGCCAGGGAACCCCAACCACCCAGGAGGCACTGTGCATCCCTGGGAAGGGAGAAGGGCAGTGAGGGTTATGGCCACAGTTTTGCTTAGGCCAGCCCAGTCCATTTTGGGGTCCCCTTGTACCAGTGACCTGAGGAATGACTTCATGAGCATTCAGTCCTCTCACCAGCGCTAGAGTGGACTCTCTGAAGACCAGCAAGGTGAGATCTGAAAGTCAAGTACAGAGCAGAGGAGCAATGGAGAGGAGAGGAGAGAGAGGTGGGCTCACCGGAGGCAGCCTGGCTCTGAGTTCCAGGTAGATCACATTGTCCATGTAGAACTCCTCCAGGCCACGGAAGATATAGTCTTTGAACACTGGCGCGTAATGGACAAGGCCAGAGATTGTCAAGAAGATGGTTTCAAACTTTGTCCAAATGACGTTTTGGTCTACATAAGTCACCTCAGGGTTCTCGGTCACCAGAGTGAAAGTCTTCTGCAGGCTGTCCAGGACAAAAAGGGGTGTGTGTGTGTGTGTGAAGGAGCATGCTTCAGGCCACTGCACACAGGCACCCATCGGGTTTCTACATGCCTGGCTTCTTCTACCCAGAAGCAAACCAGGACGTGTCATAGTGAGGGTGATAAGGAGGAGGCAAAGGGGACTATCCCTGGCTCTCCAGCCCAAGGCCTCCATCCCATGACCAGGTAGCTGGCTGCCGGCTCTGTACGCCCCAGGAGGCAGCTCAGGAGGGAGGCTCACCCAGCCAGGCTCTCCTGTTCTCCTTCCATTTGCTTAGCCCATCTGACGCCGCAGGGCTTACATTGAGACCAAGCTCTCTTTGGGTGGTTAAAAAAAAAAAAACAAGCCCATTGCCATTGAGTTGATTCTGACAATCCGAAGTGTTCCAGAGTAGAATTGCCCCATAGGGTTCTCTTGGTTGTATTCTTTACGGAAGCAGATTGCCTGGCCTTTCTTGGTACCACTGGGTAGGTTTGACCCACCAATCTTTAGGTTAGTAGTTAAAAGCAAACCATTTGAGCCACTCAGTGACCTTCTTTAGGTGATATGGTGGCAATAATTCTGGATGTGGAGTCATATGACCCAGGTTTACATCTCATATTTGCCATTTATGAGCTGTGCAGCCTTGGACAACTTACTTAACCATGCTGAGCTTCATGTTTCTTATTTCATAAAGGGAAATGACCTCATGAAAGTACTCTGTACGTAGTTCTATGAAAAATAATTGGTACTTTGAACATTACTATAATATTCCTATACAAGTAACAATGCTATTATTATAATTACTTCTTTATATTATTATAGTATGTATTATAATATTACTACTTATAATATTACCTATAATATTACTATAAAAATTTGTTAAGTTGCTTTATCATGTTTTTAAGCTGTTTAATCTACCAGCTGAATTGTCATCATCCCATGAGCAGAGCATTTTCTTTTTTCTGGCCTCATTGAACATCAAGACAAATCTCATTTTATGCAACAACAGTGTTGCTGATCAAATCAGATATTTAAATGCACCAGGAATTTACTATGGAAAGAAAAGGCGCTAAATGCTTTTGTGAAGCAAAATATCCATCTGTAAAGTTAAGAAGAAAATGCCTCTTAATTTTTTTTTAGGCCAAATTTTTGCATAAGAGTTTGTACCAAGTGACACACACCTGCATACTGCATGTTACCTATGACAAGTGTGCAATGCCTGCTTTCTGGACCACCACTCACCTGTTGTCAAACTCAGTGACGTTCTTTAGCTCTTTTCTATACTGCTGCAGCAAAATCCACTTTGAACAGTCTTCCTGATTGGGGGCGGGAGGAGTTGGGTGGGCAAATTTGAAGTGCAAAGTCCCATTTGGAGTGAAACAGACATGGCAGTGGGGCCTGTAGGTGACATTTTTCACCAGCCAGTCCACATCCACGATGCCGAAGTCATGGAGGTGTAAGGCAGCCCCTGGAAAGGGAAAAAGAAAGTGAGGGAAGCAAAGGAGGTGAAGTCCAGATTCCAGGGTTAGAAGCTTGTGAGGACAGTGCCAATGGACCAGTGGAAGACATAAGTATTTTTATCTGGCCAAGTTCCTCTGGAGAAAAACATAATATACCCTTCTTACTCTAGCTCCAAGACCTGATCTGTTTCTTGCCTTTGTCTCCCCAGTATGGCCACTGTCTTCTTTGCTGTAGCAAAGAATGGGGCTTTCTTATCTTCCTCCGTCATTAGTCAGAAACCATGAGTGTGTTGAGGAGAGTATCAGGCGTGGAATCAGAAGACTGGAGTTCAACTCGGTTCTTCATCAGCTTCTAGCTCTCCGTTCAGAGCCCAAGTCTTTAAACGAGGCCTCCCTATCCAACGCTGGATGAAGGGATGTTAATAAGAGTGAGTTGCAGGCACCCAGGCCCTGCTTGTGCAGTTGCTGTTGGTCCTCTTACTCTGCTCCCCAGCCCCCCACCCACTTGCTCACTTTCCATTCTCTGCTGCAGGCTAGTACCTGTGGACCTTCTGACCTGCAAGCTTTGCCATTTGGGGCCCCATGCTGGCTGTTCAGACCTCTGCCAGTTTTGACCCTTTGCTCTTCTTGCTCCACCCGGCTCCTGGCCCTGACACCGAGCCTGCGGCAGGTGTCCCAGGTGTGTGAGGCTGGTGCATTGCCCTCTCTAGGCCTTACTTTCCCCATCAACTGGGAATGATAGGATCTACTTTATCAACCTTGGAGTTATTTTTGTTTTAATCTCTATTTATGACATTTAAATAAAACGAGGTGTAGAAAAGTAAGCTGCAAACTGCTATTTACATGTATGAGATTATAATTATTTTACTATTCATGGGAATTTGTTTATACTACCCCATGATACTGTATCGTATTGTAACCTATTTGGTAACTGAACCCCTGGAATAGGGATAGGAGAATGGGGTGAGAGGAAAGATGTGAAAGGAATAATAATGTTCTACAGGCCTTGGACACTGTCTTGTGGCCAGATACTTTTCCAGCTTTGTCAGAGAAGCCCAGTAACATCTCCTGCCTCCCGCTCCCCTGCCCCTGCTACTGTCTCTCTGAAGCTGAGTCTCCTCAGAAGCAGAGATTTTTGGTTTCCAGTGTGAAACTGCCGCTACCATCAAACTCTCCTTTCTAGTTTCCCAGAGAGGAAAATGGAGCAGGGTTGCTAAGTGGTGTTCTCAGCTACTCTGCTGAGTACTTCTCCAGATACTGTCCTTATTTAGAATAATAAGGAGCACAGACTTCCAATAAGCAGCTCAAAGTTTCCCCATAACCTTCCCAGGGCCCCCAAACTGCCCCTCTCCAAACCTCTACCTTTTGGCATCTTCTTCAGGATATGGAACACCTCACTCTTCTCAATGAGTTTCTTGGCCTGGAAAAAGTGCATGCTAGGTGGGAACATCTGGGTCTTCATGGCCTTGGTTATCTCAGCCTTTTTGAGGGTCATGAGTTTTCCATTGGCCTCTTCTTCTTCTTTCTTCAGCACCAGTTGCCCACCAAGTCGCATCATCTTCTCTCTCTTTATCAGCTCATTCCGTGCCTCATCTATGGATATGGCTAAGCAGAAAAAAGGCAACACCACAGCCAAAAGGAGGGAGAGCAGGGCTGGCTGCCCAGATGGGCCACCCGCCAACATTGGGATGCCTGGAAGAGGAAATTGATCAGATTGAGACCCAATAGGGCTTAAAAAAAAGGGGAGGGGGAGAACGGGTAAGTGAAAATTTACACATTTAACGGTGGAACTCTCACTTCCCTTCTCCCACCTGGTTCTCAGATTACCAGCAGGCAGGATATTGAAGGATTTTTCTCTGAGACCACAGAGAAAAGAACTGCAAGTATAGAAATATAGAAGATTCCCACATATGAGGTCTCCTTATAGTGAAGGTTTTCAGTCAGCGAGCTTTGCTCATACAAAGAGAAAGAAATTGCAATCAGATTTTTAGTGTTTCACTTTTAAATACAGCCAGAGAACAATGGTTCACAAGACATCTGAGGAAAGTCTCTAACATGAAAGAGAGAGACACATAGACCAAACTAAAATACACAAAGAGAAGGAACCAGGAAGAAAATGACAATGCAAGAATTAAAAGAAAAATTCAAAAGAAGTACAATTAATATCCTTAGAGAAATTAAAGAGTATATATATTGTGTCCATAAAACAGAAACAGAAGTTTGTAAAAAATGAATAGAAAATAAGAGAGTTCTTAGAAATTAAAAATATGAAAGCTGAAGTCTAAAAATTTACATAGAATTATTAAAAGATGTAGTTGAAGAAAACACTTAAAAAGTAGGAGAATATAAAATGAGAGGATGATTGGTCCAGCAAATCCAACACCCAAATAATAGACATTTCAGAAGGAAAAGAAAGAAGAAGAAATAGATGGGAGGAAATAATCAAATAAATAACACAAGAAATTATCCCAGAACTAAAGACCTGAGTCTCAAAGTTGAAAAGACTTGTTGAGTACCTAGCATAGCACAATGGATTATTAATAGCCATGCCAAGATACATTGTCTTGATATTTCATAACACTGGCATTAAAAAATATTCTAAACGCTTCCAGAGAGCAGCTAGTCCAGGCTGACAGTGAGCAGAGATTTAATGAATGAATGAAAAAAAAAAAAAAAAACCTTGAATTTATTAAGAGTTCTCTTTTACCAGCTACTGTGTTAAGTACTTTACATGGGTTCTCTATTTTAATTACATTTAAGAATTGTTTCCGAATACTTGGAATTATATGCACCTGAACAAGAATGATATGGTGTATTAGAAAGAATGAAGACTGTAAATTAAGAGACTTCAGGAAGAGTCCCAAATTAGTATCAGTCTTTAACTGTGAGCCCTTGCACAAATTACTTAGTGTATGTGGATTTCTTCATATATAGTCCAATTCATCCTTCCTATAAAAAGGACGAATTGGACTATATCGGTGTTTCTCAAAGTGTGATGTGTGTATCATCAGTAAAACATAATATGATTTTAGGTGATTCACAAATGACTATGAATTACTTTGATAACTGTAGTTTTTAAAAAGTGTATTAGCAAGTATGTAGTTTTAAAAAGTGTATTAGCACATCAAACCCATTATATCATGACTATTGTTATTTAGGAGCCCTGGTAGCACAGTGGTTAAGAGGCTGGCTGCCAACCAAAAGATCAGCAGTTCGAATCCACCAGCTGCTCCTTGGAAACCCTATGGGGCAGTCCTACTCTGTCCTATAGGATCACTAGGAGTTGGAAATGACTCAATGGCAACGGTTTTTTTTTTTTTGTTTGGTGTTGTTATTTAAGTTGAATAAAAAATTTTAAAGCAAGTTAAATTTAAAGAAAAATAATAAGTAAATAGAGGTACAGGGATATGATAACAAATAAGAGTTTGGTAATCACTTGTCTAGATTATATGCAAGGTTTCTTCCAGTTCTGGCAATCAATTATTCTACGGTAAATTAAATGCCAAGAGGGAATTTTAGGAAGAACTAGATGACTATTTATTCCAGTATCACAGTTATGTTAAGGGCTATACCTCCAGAATCAGAGAGTCTTTGTACTTCTCCTCAGACTACAATCAAGTAAGCATTTGCCCTCATTTGAAATCACCAGAGAAAGAAGACAATGACATCCATGTCACCACCCCACCCACCCCATGCTGCGTCTTCCACTCACCAACCCCAGTCCCTTGTTCCTCTCTCCCTAGTGATAATAGCTAAGGCCACCAAGTTTAGGAATTTCCAACACCATCCTTCCCAAGAAGGACTCCAAAATAGGAGAAAAGGAAATGAGAGGATTACTGGTCCAGGATTATGTGGCACAACATCTGGGGATTTTTCCTGACCTGCCAGATAAAAGTTTATCTAATATTGGTCAGGACTAGCCCAGTCAAACACAAGGAAAAAATAATCTATATCAACATTGATCGTTCTACCTACCTCATGTTCTCTCTGTCTCCATGAATTTTTATTTTACTTATAAAAGAGGGTGTATGAAAGTTCTATAAAAATAGTGTTTCTAGACCAAGAACAAGGAAACAGACCACGTGCATCTGTGACTTCAGTAGAAGTCCTTGGGCCTGCAACCATTTTCAGAAGTCTGTTGTGGAGAAAACCTACGTTCTTCCCCCTGACTGAGAATCACAAACCCAGTTATGGTGGGGGAGAGGGCGGGTATTGACAAGTAAACAAAGCCCAACGCCCCAACCTCCCAGCTGTCAGCTCACAAGCCCAGCCCTCCACCCAGACCTTCATGGCCAGCGGCTGTTCAGACCCCCACCCCAGGGGATCCCAGTTACCTCAGAGCAGCTCCAGAAACTATAGACTGTTTGCTTAGTCCCCCCAGCAGCTGTGTCAGAAGCACCAGAAAAGTTCACCATCCTGTTTCACTTCCTGTCAGGGCAGGTTTCACTTCACTCCAGCCTCACACTGCACAGGGAGGCAGGGAAGAAGAGGGGGTCTGACAGGGCCTAGGCAGCAAGTGTGTGTGGTGTGTGTGTTTATTAGCATGTTTGTGTGTGTGCATGTGTTTATTTGTGTGTCTGTGGGGAATTATGGGTGTGTTTGTGTGTGTACATGTGTTTATGTATTTATGTGTATGAAGGTTTATGTTGTGTGTGTGTGTGTTATGTGTGTGGTTGTATGTGTTTGTGTATGTGCATATAGGTTTATTTGTGTGTTTGTGTATGTGTGTGTGGGTTTATGCATGTGTGTATACGTATGTGTTTGTATATATGTAAGTTCATGTGTGTTTGTGCATGTGTTTGTAGGTGGGTTATGAGTGTGCTTGTGTGTGTGTGCATATGTGTTTGCATGGGGAGGATTTATGCACCTTTGTGTGTGTTTGTATGGGTTTATGTGTGTGAATGAGTTTATGTGTGTTTGTGCATAAGGGTGTATGTGTATCTGCACAGGTAGATTTATGTGTGTGTTTCTATGTGTTGTGTCTTTGTAAGGTCCAGAACACAGTTTTGGACAACAAGTACCACAAATAGGCACTCCAAAATCTAATGAACTTTGGAAAGTGTGCCTGTCCTCAAAATGTGACTGTGGATTGTGGGGCAACCCATTGGACAGCGGGTAAAATGTAGATATGATAAAATGTAAACGATTTAGGGAGAAAACACAGGCATGTGGGGACAGGGCAGTACCAGGAGAGGGAAGAGGCAAGAGTGGGATGTGGGGGAGACCAACAAGAAGAATAATGGCTCTAAGAGGAAGTAAGTGGTCAAAGCACTGATGACCAGGAACAAATCAGAGTGTTGAAGAGAACTGGTGCTGGAGACAGATCTAGCTTTGCACCCTGGCCAGCTGTGGGGCCGTGGCCATGTTACTTACACTCTCTTCAGTTTCTTGATCTGAAAATGGAGATCATAAAAGTGTCTACCACACAGAGTCATTCTGAGAATTAAATGAATGCATGCAAAATGTCCGGTGTACAGTAAGTTCTCAATAAATATTAGGTATTACAATTATTGACTCACTTACTTGTGGACACATCATGAGGAAAGACCAGCTGCTGGAAAAAGACTTCATGTTTGGTAAAATAGAGGGCAAACGAAAACAAGATGGACTGACACAAGAGCTGAAACAATGGACTCAAACATACCGATGATCATGGAGACAGCCCAGGATCAGGCAACGTTTTGTTCTGTTACACGTAAGATCACCACGAGTTGGAGCTGACTCAACGGCAACTAATAACAATTATTGGAAGTGACTATTGTGATACATCATCCCGGTCAACCTAATTAAGAAACACGAAACTGTACCAGTAACTTCTATGACACACATGGTCTATATACTTGATCTGCACCCCACTCCTTCCCAGGCCCACTCTCACAGACTTCTACCCCCAAATTGACTCACAAACCCCACAGCAATTCCAGTTCTTCAGTACCTAGACCTCTGGAGCTTCTGGGCTCCTTGTTGCCATCTTCTCAAAAACGTAAAGAGTCATCCATTTAGTAAAGAAGAAATTCAAAAGTGAAAATATAAAGGAATTAAGAATTCCCCCATCAAGAATGTGCCAAAGATCAAAATGATTTAACTTCTAAGAAGTCAGAGGAATCAAAAGAAACATACAAATACTAAAGAAAAACAAAGTTGATGATTCAAGCAGAATGGTAAGAAAGCAAATCACCTATTTTGAAAATAAATCATCCGAAGTTTTTTTTCAAATGCCAGATCAGAACTAAAGATAAAGCTTTCCCTTCTAAATGCTTTGATTAGAGTAGGAGCTAATTTTCACAGTCAAAGGGATTGCAGCTCATGACTTGGCCAAGGAGCGTGGTGAGCCAGCTGGTGGCAGTGGGCTCTGACCTGGACTTACCAAGTTGGGCAGAACCTTTTCAAGCTTAGATCTTGAGGCAGAAACAAAGAGGGGAATGCTGGGCATACGAACTTGGTCACACGATCAGAGACAATGAATGGGAGCAGGGATCAGACCCAGGAGGAGCTGACAGGAGGTGCGCAATGCCCCTGAAGCAGAGGCAGCTCAATCCAGAGCCAACATCTTCGCCTTTTGTGGTGGAACCACCTCCATGGGGGCCTTTCATGTCTGGAGCCACCCCCAAAGGGAGTCAGCCTCTTTCAGGTGTTATTGAACATTGTCTAACAGAAAAGGTGTGGCATCTGACGACAGCAGGCAATGGGGTATAAAATTGTGAGGCCATTCTGGAAGAATATTCTGCCAAGTGCAGGCACCGTAAAATGGGAAACAAGGCTCTCTAGTCATCATAAAATGGGAAACAAGGCTCTCCTTTTTACGCTTTATTGAAGACCACTGTCAGCAGAAATAACTGGACTGATTTTGCTTATAATCTGAAAATCTACAGGGCAGAAAATGAGGACCAAAGCATCTTTTCAATGACTACAAAACTAAGCCTAAATGAAGAAAAGCCCAAAGAAGCAAGTGGGTTATGACCCCAGAGTTGGAGACAGGAGTTTTCAAAGTTAGAGATGGTCTATGTGCATGCAAATATTTCAGTCAGTTTCATTAAAACATCTCTTTCTTCCCACCAAAACATGAATTGTATGCTATCGCGATAGTCAAGGGAGAGTTCCCTATGGTTTAAAGTTTAAAGTGCTTGATACACCATTTTTATATAAGTAAGTAATGTTCTCTGGCCCCAGGAGTTAAGAAAATGGAAATAATAATTGCTAAAGCTTATTGAGAATTAGGAAACCCTGGTAGTGGAGTGGTTAAGAGCTACAACTGCTAACCAAAAGGTCAGCAGTTCGAATCCACCAGGCGCTCCTTGGAAACCCTATGGGGCAGTTCTACTCTGTCCTATAGGGTCACTATGAGTTGGAATCGACTTGATGGTAACGGGGGTTTGGTTTGGGTTGGTTTATTGAGAATCACATGTATTTACTCATTTAATATTTACAGAAATCTTATAAAGTAGCCTCTATTGCTATCACCACTTGGCAAATGAATGCACTGAGGTTAGGTAACTTGCCCAAGGTCACACAGCTGGTAATGAGCAGGGCACGGACTTGAACCCAGGCAGGTTCTATCAAACTGTCTTCCCTGGCAGCAAGGAAACAAAAGGTCTTCAAAGTGCTGGGGACCCACTGGTCTGGAGCAGCTCAACTCCCACAGGAGAGCACAGCACAATTAGCAAAGATGAGACATAGGAATAGACATTAGCAGGTGTACAAGGATTTTACAGATACCAGGAGCTTTTGTGTGTGTGTGTGTGTGTGTGTGTGTGTGTTTTAATTGTGCTTTAGGTGAAAGTTCACAGCTCAAGTTAATTTCTCATACAAAAATTTATACACATGTTGTTATGTGCATTAGTTGCAATCCCTACGATATGACAGCACACTCCCCCTTTCCACCCTGGGTTTCTTCTGTCCATTCAACCAGTTCCTGTGCCTTCTTGCCTTCTCATCCTGTCTCTGAACAGGAGACGTCCATTTGGTCTCTGATTCAACTAAGAAGTACGCTCTTCACGAGTATTATTTTGTTTTATAGTCCAGTCTAATCTTTGTCTGAGGAGTGGGCTTTGGGAATGGCTTTAGTTCTGGTTAACAGAGCTTCTGGGGGCCATAGTTTCGAGGTTTCTCCAGTCTCTATCAGACCATTAAGTCTGGTCTTTTTACACTAATTTGAGTTCTGCTCTGCACTTTTCTCCCACTCCGTCCGGGACTCTCTGTTGTGTTCCATGTCAAGGCAGTCATTGGTGGTAGCCAGGCACCACCTAGTTCTTTTGGTCTCAGGTTGATGATACCTTGGATACCTTTGGACATATGTGTGAAGGTGGGTCCAAAACAGGAGGGGTGCTTGGAAAGCCTTTAAAAAATAATAATAATAACTAGAGTCACAGACATTCTCTTTCACTGCAGATTTGTTTTCAGGGGAATGTAAAACAGAGAGACTCTGGCCTAGTTAAAGATGAGGGTACTATACTAAACATGAAGGGATTACTGAAATTTTGCAAATTGAACAACGAATTCCCTAAGCCTGCTTTCTCTACTAGACTCCCAAACATCAGCAACCAACTTATACCTACAGGCAAGTAAAGGGAAAAGCCTTCTCTGGGGCTTTAACCAGCCCCAGTGAAAAAACCTAATGATACGGATAGGAATATACTGGATCACTGTATAGCAAAACTCACAGCTAGTAACTTCTTTCCTCCATGCACACAGAGCTTATTGTATCATTTTAGTACCCCACTTTTAAATATAAGCAGATAGCCAAGATTCACTACATTTGAGGAAAGCCACTGTTATTTAGGAAAAAAAAAAGTTATCTTGCAAGAAAGAAAGAGGGAGAAGAAAATGCCATCTAACACTAACACCCCCAGAAAAATAAGATATTTCAAAGACCGCCCTGACAGGGATCAGAACAGAGAGTCCCTGATGGAGCACCAGAAAGGTGGGGTGCAGAACTCAAATTCTAGTAAGAAGACCAGACTTAATGGTCTGACTGAGACTGGAGGAACCCCGGAAAGCATGGCCTGTGGATTCTTTATCAGCCCAGAACTAAAACAATTTCCAAGGCCAACTCTTCAGACAAGGATTGGACTGGACTGTGGGACATAAAGTGATACTCGTGAGGAGTGTGCCTCTTAGCTCAAGTAGATACAAGAGACCAAACGGGCAGCTTCTGTCCCAAGGTGAGATGGGAAGACAGAGAGGGTTAGGAGCTGGTTGAATGGACATGGGGAATCAGGGGTGGAAAGAAGGAGTGTGCTGTCACAGTATGGGGTGAGAAATTAGGGTCACAATGTATGTATAAATTTTTGTATGGGAGACTAACTTGAAATGTAAACTTTATTTAAACTACAACAATCAAAAAAAAAGAAAAGAAAGATAAGATATTTCACCCATGGAAAAAAATCAAGACATTATAAAAGAGGAAGAGTTATAGAATGAAAAAAAAAAAACT